AAGCAAGCAGAACAGGGAAAATAGAGGTAATAAAATAAGTGTCAAAGCTGAGCCTAGATTTTACTGGATTGTAAGTGAAAACTGCTGTAGCAATGCTGTATGAGCAAGTATATGGCCCCTCAAAAATAACAAAACAGCTGAGAGTGGTGAGGTAGGGCATGCTTGCAGTCATGGTGTGAACCATCTTGATACCCAGGTCATGCCCAAGTTATGAGTACCTCTGACTAACCTAGTGAGGTGCCACCTGAGATATAAACTTAGATCTCAGAAGAAATGCAGCCACATCAAGCACCTCTGTGTGACTTTGATTGTCCAGCATAGATAGGTCCCTATCACCCAGATCTCTACTCTCCCCCTTCTCATGCAGACTTTGGCAGGTGGAAATGCTGCTCCAGAAGGCTGCTGGGCACCACTGGTGGTGGATCTGTCTGCTTCTGTGGAGGTGCAGTGGTGGTGGCTAGGGCTGGCCCACAGCCCTTGCCATGAGGTCCTTCCACATCAGTCAGTCACTGGCTTCACTCCCACCATCCTGGCAGTGAGGGCCAGCTGTCTGGCGTTTCCTCGTTTCCAGTTTGTGAAAGGAAATGAGATACTCCACACATCCCTTCAGGCCAGAAAATTCCTGATCTCCATTCATAGTCAAATCAAGGTAACATGCCATTCACCTCCTTCCCTGCCAGTACTCAAGCCCCCCAGCCTTGTGTCTTTGCCCTCCCTAGGCAACTGTTTCCATTAACCCCTCTGCTTCCACCAGGGATGTGGAAAAACTAATTGACTTCAAATGCTGGTTTGTGGAGCAGTGCTGCACTGGCCTGGCAGGATCAGATCTGGCCAACTCCAGCCCAGGTCAGAGGAACTGCAGCAGAATGAAAACAGGAAGAGAGGTAAGAGGAGAGGACTCCTCTCTTTCTCCTGGCACAGCTCTTGTGGAGGAGCACGCCTGTTCTCCTCCCTGGCTCTGTGCAAGGACAAGCAGCACCTTCTGTGCATGTGGCTCTGGGTGACACGGCTTTGGAACCCAGAGGGGTTAGAAATTATTCCTTGTGAGAACTGGGAATGGCCATAAGGGCTGGACTGTACCAGCTGTGGGAGGCACACTAAAGAGAGCTATAGAGTCGACAACAAATCTTTAAGGTCAGTGGAATGTTTTCTTCAGCTGTCTTTTTTTTAAATAGGATTGTGTTATTTGGCATTGCTATGCAAATAAGCTTTTTGTTTGATAATGTGATTCATTTCTGACTTATCTTTAAATGCTTTCTAGTCTCATGAACAAAAGGTTTCCGTGACTTTATCTAGCAATTTACGTACCAGCAGAGGGTCATGCAACTGTGTCCTGTATGAAATATCAGTAAAACAAAAATAACCCATTCAACTAACAAAGCCAGCTGTGGATGAAATGGCAAGGCAGGCTGATTGTAGGATAAAGCACTGATCAAAAGGAGGCATGACTTTTGGGTGGAGTCTGACTTACTAAGAACACATCAGGAAAAGGAAAACAGTATTTTGGTCGATATGGGTAAGTGTATGGACAGCAAACTGTAAGCTGTTAAGAAAGAATGACATCAGAACCAGCTTCAGAACAAGTAAAAGACACCAAAATGAGTTAATTATGCCTCAATGGAGAGTAAAATACCAAGGTTATCAAGGAGGGAGGGAGGGAGAGAAGGAAGGAAGGAGGGAAGGAAGGAAGTGGCGGAAGGAAGTGGCGGAAGGAAGTGGCGGAAGGAAGTGGCGGAAGGAAGTGGCGGAAGGAAGGAAGTGGCGGAAGGAAGGAAGGAAGTGGCGGAAGGAAGTGGCGGAAGGAAGTGGCGGAAGGAAGTGGCGGAAG